TCCTCGGCCCTCGCAGCCTGTGGCCCTGAGCTCCCGGGGCCGAGCCAGTGGGTGGGTTAGCTCCCTCCCTCCCTCCCTCCCTCCCTCCCTTCCTTCCTTCCTTCCTTCCTTCCTTCCTTCCTTCCTTCCTTTCTCCCTAGGTTCCTTCTAAATTTCCCAGCCTCTCTTTCCTGCTTGCCCGCCTGGGGTTTGGTGGGCCAGATGTGAGGTCCGAGGACCCCCCCCCCCCCACAGGGCTCCTTTCTCTGTACTTCTTCCTCCCCGGGCGCCGCGTCTGCCCTGGGCCCTTCTCGGGACTAGGAGGCCCCTGTGCCCTGGGGTCGGAGTCACTGTCCCCACGGCGGCCACCCGGCTGACTCTCCCTGTTGCAGATGGAGAAGGAGATGGTCCTGCCCAGCGCCCACCAGCAGAACCCCGACTGTGACATGTGGGTCCACGAGTATTTCACGCCCGTCCCTGGTCCTTGTCTTCCCCGACAAACCGGTTCCGTGTGACGGTCGTGCGGCCCGGAGACTCGGCGAGGGACACGCTGGAGGGGGTCTGCAAGGTGAGGCCCTGGGGGCGTCCTGTGGAGCAGAGGCCCCGGGGGTCACCTCCGCAGCAGGCGATGCGGGGCCGGGCGGGGCTCCCCACATGCAGGGCCGGGCCGGGTTAGGGTTAGGGTTAGGGCTGCAGAGCCGCGCGCGTGCCGGGTTCGCACACGGTGGTGGTTCACCGTGTCTGCACACCTGAGAGATTTTCCCTGTGATTCAGTGACGGTTACGGAAATAACTGTCGGGATGTTCTTAGTTTGGCCTTAAAAACTCCTTGGGGGGAGGGCAGGAGAAGTAAAAAGAGTATAAACACGTGGAAGATGAACTTCACGCAGGTGGAAATAACTGTCATCAGCAGAGCTTTTGGGGGGGAAGAGCCCTTTATTTGTGAAAACTTTACATGTCTATAGAAGCAGAGACTGATGTCATGAACGCTGGGGTCCCCGTCACTGGGGTCTATAATGATCAAATTCTGTTTCCTTTACTCACTCCCACCCCCAGCTCCGGGTTATTCTGGAAGCAAATCCCCAGCTCATTATCTTTATCTACCGTGCACTTGGGATGAGTCTCCAAAATAGAAGGATGTTTTTAAAAAAATGAGTCCATTGAAGCATTTCCTGCCCACGATGCACTGTGTGCTGAACAGCACTGTCCTCTCTTTTCCCTTCTTTTTTTAAAAGATATTTTTATTGATTTCAGAGAGGAAGGGAGAGGGAGAGAGAGAGAGAGAGAGAGAGAGAGAGAGAGAGACAGAGACATCGGTGATGAGAAAGAATCATGGGTCGGCTGCCTCCTGCACACCCCCCACTGGGGATCGAGCCTGCAACCTGGGCCTGTGCCCTGACCGGGAATCGAACCGTCACCTCCTGGTTCTTAGGTCGACCCTCAGCCCCTGAGCCACGCGGGCCGGCCCCCATCTTCTCGAACGCACATGCGGGTTGTGTATGAAACCATGTCGCTGCTCTTGCTTTTTCTGCAACCTTCATCCGAAGATGAGTTTTTAGACACAGGAAGCCCGCCGGCCGGTCTGGGCCCGGAGGAGGCCTGGGAGCCGAATCCCCGGCTTTTCCCGATTGCTCCTCTGGGCGAGTCGTTCCGCATGTTTCCGAAGCCGCACGCTGGGAGCTCATGTGGGACTCTGTAAATCACCGAAATCCGAGCGTCGTCCTCACTGGGACTCGCTTGCAGATGAGCTGCTGACATGGTCCCGTCCCCACGTGTGAAACCCACGTGCCGGGCGCAGCCTCCCTCGCTGTCCCCGCGTCAGGCTTTCCCCACGCTCCCCTCCGCCGCCTCTGTGTGTGTGGAGTTATGTTGTGGCCTCTTTGCTCTGACGGTGGGTCTTTAAACTTGTCTTTACTGTTGAAGGCGTTGCCGGTGCCCCTTCCCCCGTGGCCCCTGGTCGATGGGTTTTGTTGCAAATCCCGAGTTAAAGGCTGAACTGGCTCAGGTCGGCCGAGTGCATCGCCAGGTGCCCACGGGGCGCGGCCTGTGTTCAGTGAGAAGGCGCTGAAGTTCGGGTGTAGGTGCAAAGCGTCCGGCACAGTGGACACTCATCCCGGGACCGGACGCCGTGTCCCGGGAAACGCGCCCCCTTTTCCCACTGAACATCTCTCCTTCTCCTTCGTCCGCGCAGACGCACCAGCTGGACCCGGCTGCCCATTACCTGCGGCTGAGGTTCCTCGTGGAGAATAGACTGCAGGTCTACGTGCCGCAGCCTGAGGAGGACGTGTACGAGCTGGTAGGCGCCGCCGTCCGGGCCCTCCGCGCAGGGGCGTAAATCCCATGGGTGCCTGTGCGGGTGGTGGCTGGGGAGGGGGAGCGGGTTCTGACCTGAATGGCCCTCGTTCCTTCGGAGTGTGGCTCCTGGGATGGCCCTGCGGGTCCCAGCCTCTCCGCGGGGTGCAGCGCCCCCTGTCTGGTGCTGGGAGCCTGTGCCCTGGCACAGCCGGCTCAGAGCCGCGGGGACACGATCCGCTCTCCCTGTCGCCCGCCAGGCGTGGTTTTCAGTTGGCGACTGAGGCCCGCCGGCTCTGACTCCATTTCTGTGTGACTCTCCCTCCCCGCGCGCTGGAACCCACGGCCGCGTCCTGTCGCGGGAAAGAGCCGCCGCTTACTTCTGTGTCCCAGCCTCTCGTGGTGACGTTTAGACAATCCCGGCCGTCACCTGTGTCTGCGTTTCTTTGTCCGAGTCTTGCCCACACCCGGGTCTCTCTCGGCTCTGATGACGTGGCGTTGGCAGGAACACGAGGGGACGCTATTCTAGGGTCCCGTCAGAGTGGAAGTGACCGTTCACACAGTAGGTGCTCAGGGAACGTTGTCACGGTAACGGCACTGACGCTTCCTTTTTGGCGGCCACATGGTGCAGTGTCAGTCCCAGGAGAGGAATGTGGGAGCCGGGGCCCCGCCCTGGAGTTTTCGCTCCCCTCTGGTCAGTCGTTCCTGGGGCCACGGCTGCGGGCCTGGACGTGCGCCTGGCGACGCGTCCCCGTGGGGGGGGGGGGGTCACCGCGGAGAGCAGAGCCGAGAGCCGGAGCCGGGCCTCCCTCTGGGAAAGGGGACGCGCGTGGCCGGCAGTGAGTGGGGTTCTGTGCAGTCAGCGCTGTGAATGCCCGCCCTTCGCCGGCCGAGTGCGTTCGGCCCGCGGGTGCGGTCGTGGAGCAGCCCTGCTGGGTGGTTCCTGTGTTTATCAGGGCTTTTTATTGCACTGAGTTTAGTCTAAGGAAGTGGGGCTCGGGCCTGTGTCGTTCTAAACCAGCGGTTCTCAACCTGTGGGTCGTGACCCCTTTGGCGGTCGAATGACCCTTTCACAGGGGTCGCCTAAGACCATCCTGCATATCAGATATTTACATGACGATTCATAACAGTAGCAACATGACAGTCATGAAGTAGCAACGAAGATAATTTTATGGTTGGGTCACAACGTGAGGAACTGTATTTAAAGGGCCAGAAGGTTGAGAACCGCTGCTCTAAACGAATCGTCTGAGATAAACGTACCCACAGGCTCAAACCAGGTACCAAGCAGGAGGCCACCAGGAAGGGACAGGACCGTGCCCACTGGACCCTGGGAAAACGTGATTGGAACGACGGCGACACGCTGCCCCCTAGAGGCAGAGCGGGCTCGAGGCCCAGAGTGAGGTGAAGGCCCAGCCTTTTGTGAGCGTTCAGTGGTGTGACGAAGCGCGCCGTAAACTTCATGTATTTGGTGTTTATAGTTTTGGTGACCATGTTTTTGAGCTGAAGATTAGTATCGTAACAGATTTTTTTCCAATTTCAGAATTTATCTGTATGACAATAACACCCCATCGAGGTGTGCCCTTCACACTGCATTTGGGGGAAGTTGCGTTGAATTAGGGTGTCCAGCGAGCGGCTGTGCGTTCAGTTCCTCCCCCAGCTCTCCACTCGCCGCCTGTCAGGTGCCCCAAAAGAGGGCGGAGAGGAACGGGCGTCCCTCCTCGCCAGAATCCGGTCCTTTCCGAACGAGTGACCGTGCTGTCGGAGACGGCCCCGAGGCTGCTGCTCAGTGCAGTGCACAGCCGACTGGCATCTGAAAATGCCGTTACTTTATTGTTGTTTTCTTCCAACACCATCATCCCCCGCTGGCCGCGTTCTCTGAGCCTCTGGCACGTGGATTTGTTCGGAGATTTTGTCATGGATTGTGGACATGGCCGTGGGCCTGCGCACCTGCAGGGGTGCTCCCTCCGCTGTTAAAGGGCCCGTCCTGCAGGGGTGCTCCCTCCGCTGTTAAAGGGCCCGTCCTGCAGGGGTGCTCCCTCCGCTGTTAAAGGGCCCGTCCTGCAGGGGTGCTCCCTCCGCTGTTAAAGGGCCCGTCCTGCAGGGGTGCTCTCTCCGCTGTTAAAGGGCCCCGTCCTGCAGGGGTGCTCTCCGCTGTGAAAGGGGGCCCCGAGGTACCTGGGAGTGAGTGAAGACCAAGGGCGAGGGCAGAACTTTGAAGTGACTGTCTGTGCGATGATTGTCACAGACACAGGGGAACGAGCCGACCGGTTAATTGAAGTGAAGCTGCTGACGTGTGAGCTGCACACGCCTCTCCTCTCCTCCCTGGAGAGCTGATTCAGGTTCACACGGAGTTTCCTGGGTCACGGGGGTGTCATCCAGGGACTGAAAGAGGGTGTCCCCACGTAGACAGGGTGTCCCCCCAAGCACGTGACCCCGCCGTGACAGCCGTGGTCAGTTTTGAGTGCCGTGTGTTTCAGCAAGCACGGCCTTCGCAGCTGTGCGGGGTGTGCACTTTGGGGGACACCCTGTATAATTGTTGTCTGTTTCGTGCTGTAATTCGTCCACCTGTCTGTCCTGCCATGAACTTCGGGGCAGGTTCGCACGTGCACGGAAGGGACCGGAAGCACCGGGACCTCCCGTCTCCGTGGCCCACGGCAGGACCGGTGCCTCTCCCTGGTCTTTCACGTTGTTAGATGTTTACTGAGCTCACTCGTTCCTACTGAGGGACTCGGGCGATCGCGTGGGGAAGTGCCGGCGCTCGGCGTGGGAGCCACAGCTCTGTCCCCGGGGCGTGCGCCCTGCCATGCCCGCTCCCGCCCAGCGGCTCCCGAGGGGTCATTGCTCCCCGTGCGCGGTTTCCGATGGGAACGCAGCTCAGGGCGGGCATACGCGCCCGGGGTGTGGCGAGGAGAAAGATTTACACAGTGAGGCAGCCCCGCACCGCCATCGCTAACGGCCTGATGGCGCCCTGTCGTTCCAGCTGTACCAGGAGATCGAGATCTGCCCCAAGGCCATGCGGAGCCTGCAGGTGGAGAAGTCGGACGCGGCCGGGGACAGCTACGGTGCGTGCATCCCCACGGTCTGCGGTGACTCCCTCGTGGGGGCCCTTCCCCGGTGAACGTGGTAAAATGCCGGGGGCCGGGTCAGGCCACAGCCCGTCTGGGTTCTGGGCTCGGCAAGGCAGCCACACAAGGAAAAGGAGGAATCTCTGCCCTGGCCGGTGTGGCTCAGTGGATAGAGCGTCGGCCTGTGGACCCAGGGTCCCGGGTTCGATTCCGGTCAAGAGCACGTACCTCGGGTGGAGGCTCCTCCCCGGCCTGGCCTGGTTGGGGCGCGTGCAGGAGGCAGCCAGTCGATGTGTCTCTCTCACATTGATGTTTCTCTCTGTCTCTCCCTCTCCCTTCCACTCTCCCTAATAATCAATGGAAAATGCCCTTGGGTGGGGGCGGATTGACAACAACAACAAACAGGAATCTCCGCCGTGCGGCCAGGACGCGCTGCCCATCCCACAGCCGTAACCCCGGGCACGCTGTGGCTACAGGGACCTGGCTGCGTTGGGAGTGGATAGCTCTGTTAGGATGCACCCCGATCCTGAGGAGAGTTCGTCTTCCTCGCCCCAAAGCATGCAGTCCCCCCTCCCCCCACAGGTCAGGTCAGAGGAACTTGAGGTTCCGGGGGGTCCCCGAGGCGACCCTCACACTCGCCGCTGCACGGCGAGGGCCCACTCACGGGGCGTGGGCGCGGCCATGACGGTGATTCATCCAGGACGTCCACACGGGGTCTAGCAGATGAGAGAGACGTGCTCTGCTCTGAGGGGCAGGCGGGGACACCTGGGTTAGTTTGACTTGCAGATAAAATTAGTTTTATTTGAGGGGGGCTTCTTGACACTCCCCCCACCCCCCACCCCACACACAGAAATAACCTGGAAGCTAGAAGTTGCTGTAAGAATGGAGTTCAAGATAAGAGGATGCAATGACATCTTTGCGCCCTGGCTGGTGCGGTCAGTTGGTTAAAAGGCACCGAGAGGTCACGGCTCGATTCCGGTCAAGGGCACATGCCCGGGTTGCAGGCTGGAACCCCAGTAGGGGGGGTGTGCAGGAGGCAGCCGATCCATGTTTCTCTCTCTCTCTCTCTCTCTCTCTCTCTCTCTCTCTCTCTCCCTCTCTCCCTTTCTCTCTCAAATCCATAAAAACGTGTTTTTAAAAAATGAGGTCGTTGGAACATCCTCATTCTCCATCTGAGGCACCCGATACCCGCGTGGGCGGGGCCGTGGGTCGTGTGGCCCGCGTGGGCGCTGTTTCCAGGACCTGCGAACAAAACAAAACATGCTGGTTATGACTCGGCCCCGCCCTCTCGGGGACGCTCTGGCCCGGCCCGCGTCAGTTCTGTTTTGTCACTTGCCTGTTGTGTGAGCCGCTGTGCTCTGCCCGGCCCTCAGCCAGGTCACTGCCCAGAGCCTGAGCTGTGTCCACGTCACGGTGGCCTTAGTTCCACACGGTCCCCTTTGCAGTTCTACCCGAGGGAAAGCGCGTGTCCTGGGCTCCCATTGGCCAGGGAGGATGTACATGAGCATGGAGGTGGCCAGGACTGGGAGCCCCAGGCCCCTCAGCACGCAGTGTTTTGGGGCGTGTTCTGCCCTTTTTCCTGACGGGTCAGCCACGCCCAGGACTGGCCACTAGTGGCTCTGAGCTCAGGACCCCGGCCACGGGAAGGCTCACGTGGAGTGTGAAACCAGCCGGGTTCGTGTGAGGTTGGATTTGGAGGGAGTG